TCTGCATTTCTCCATCTGTTTCAAGGCCATATCTTAAGTCACCTTTTGTAGTGCCTTCTCTCACTTAAATCCTTCTACAAGCTGAAATGTATCTTAAGAAATCAATTAGCTCAAGCAAATTAACCATGTGGCCTCACACCTACCTTCTGCACTTACTCCTACCTTCTCCATTTATCTCCTACCTTCCCATGGAGCCAGTATCTCTTTCCTCCTGTGCAGTCATTGATCTGCTGAAACTATTTTAGAAATCTTGTCTCATGGGCTAGAATGATACAGAACATAATCAGGGACTCAAATTCATCACCCTTCAGCAAGGAGAAGAGCCTTTCCAATTTGGAGGTCTGAATAAATTTGCGAGCCATCTTCAGCATCTAACCAAGCAAGGTTTTGATGCAAGAAACACCTCTTGCCTCTCTTTGTTAACCAGAGGCATGGCAATTACAGGTCAATAACAGACTGTTGAATATACAAAATAATGCCTGCAATAAACAAAAGATCAACATGCAGCGTGCATTTTGAGGAAAAACAAGAATCAGTGTCAATTCCTTGGTAATTCATAGTAGATGTTTTGTTTTGTTTTTCTCTCTCATTACCAAGGATTAGAAAACAAGCAAAAGCTTCCAGATACATACTTAGAACAGTGCATTTTCCATCTCTCCTATAGCAGTAATCTTATTCTAACAGTTTAACAATTACCAACTGCTTACTTCCCAACGATACACTGTTTTAAATTATTTTGCAAAATAATATATATAATCTGCAGACCTCTCAATTTGTATTCACAAATACACCCATTTCCCACTGCAGATATCTAAAAAGATATTTACCTACCCCTGGCAAACAAGCACAAACATTAGGATCTACTATTCTTGTTGCAGCTAATTTATTAGTTACATGCCATCCTTATGGGCTATGTCATCCAGGAATACATCTTGGAGGCTAAACTGGATTTAACCTGATTTCATACCCAGGGAGATATTTGCTGAAGAGGGATACAAGCCCTAATCCACTGGCTTTATTTGTACACAGCAAGTGACTCTTTCCAATGCATTTTTTTGGCAAGTGTCTGCTGCAAGAGCCATTTCTCGAAACTCTGAGCATTTCTTGTAGAAGCTGTTTTCTACAAGCTGCAAGAGCCAAGGGATGATGAGGTGCGATAGGCATTGTAAGAGACCTTTGGGAAAACGCAAATCAAGCCTTTCTACAGTCACCAGACACACACACAGCCATAAAACTGAGGAAACATGTCAGCAGTGAACACAGTTAGAAGAGTTCTTTCACAAGTCTGCTCCTTCAGATTCACTGTTTCTGACTTTTATTTATTTCTTTGTTTGTTATCCTGTCGCAGCTGGATAAAAACTCATAGTTAAAGCATTCTCTGGGGCAGCTGTACCAAAAATAATTAACTGAGCAAAGCTGCTATCCAGTGGAGGGGAGATGGATAGCAATGTGTTCTGTTCTTCTGCTAAGCACCCTCCGAGGCTGGGATAACGGCAGCAGAACTAAGCTGGCCTATTCTCCAGTGACAGGTGTTTGCAGAGCTTTTGAGAGGTTTGGGAAATGAAATGTGTTTTCTGAGAGCTCACAATGAAATCATACAAAGAAGGGCTCTTATTATACTGTCATCCTATATCACACCAGGTTTGAAAATGGAGCACTTCTCTTGTGCCTCCAGAACAACAATATTTTTCTGATGCATCTTATATTCTAAAATGCCCTCCCTAATCATAGCTTCCCATAAGGAGTAAATCTCCAAAATTCATACATAGTACAATTTCAAAGTGTCAAGCCAATAGTAAATGAAATTCTGATATAAGCAGACTGCAAAGCTGGTAATGAACAGCTCTACCCTCTCATTGAGCAACAGGAAACACAGATGCCATGCGACTGAAATGCAGGTAAACACAATCACATTTTTCTCCAATCACTGGACAATCCAATCTCCCCCCAAGCCAAACAAAAAACACATCAGAAAAGGGGGTATACAGAGCAGGCTCCCAGCCACCAAGCATAGGGGAGTGAGGGGAGCCAGCAGTGGACTTTGCACAGTTGTTCTGTTGTGTCTGATCTACACCACAGGACTGGCACCTCTCTGTGAAACCTTCTCACAGTAGCTGGAAGCAAAGTTGCTTTGCAAAAGAAAATGGTTTCCTTTCTCCAGCACCTAGTCTGAGGTCTCATGTTTTTATTTGCTCTATCCAAATAAACATCGTTGCTTTTACACCACGAAATGCAGAAGAATGGCATAGGTTTGTTCTTAATTCCCGATAAGGACAAGTAACTTTCTGGCACTAAGTGCTATTACACCAAACAATAAAAGCTTTAGCCCCTCTTTCTCAGTATATTACCTCTGATTATTTCATTTTCACTCCTGAATCACAAGCCTGAAGAAATACCATCTTAATGAGTGCTAGTCTGTAATCCATAATCTCATTCCTAGCAGCTGCAAGAAACAGAAAAAAACGCTCTTCTGAGCTCTTCCTCCAAAGGTTTCCAGAGCCCTCAGAGCTATGGAGGGGTATTTCTGAAGCTTCATAGCTTCTATGCACTTACTATTTTGAATATTTTTATTTGTATCTGTTAGCTGTTAATGTCAATTTTTTTTTTTTTTTTTTTGTGATGAGAGTTTCTAAATATCAAAAGGCTCAGACACTTAAAGACTTCTGGCAATCCTGTTGGGCCCTACACATTTGAGAAAGAAAATTAGGGTTTTATACTGCCTTTTTCCTTTCCCTCCTCCTTATTGGCAAAGGAGAAGAGAGGACAAAGAATAAAGATTTCTTGTTGTGGGAGGTTCCTTTGAGGTAGCTAATTCAAGCATTTGCAGAAAATTTTGAAAAGTTTATTCTAAACAGTTTGCTACAGCAAACCATTCCCTCCCTCCTTTTCCTTCAAGGACATCTGGAAATACAAATGCAGAAAATCCTTAGCAAAAGTTTCAAAAGGTAGAAGAGGTCTCGTTGTGAGAAAAACAGTTTATGATGCTGTTTGAAGTCTCACTGAAAAGCACTCCTGCTTTTGCTGGGTAGATAACATTTTTAAAATGGCTGTATTAGCATGGCAGCTAGAGCCTCATATGAAAAACAACCATGTTTCTTCACAGCATATCTGCTTCTTGCACAGAGAGGAAATAAAATTAGAGGGGCACTAAAGCACAGAAAGTGCAAGACAGTTAATGAAGGGCGGGGTAAGTAGGAAGAGTGCATGAAAACATCACTGAAGGGATTGAGCATCTGTTACCTTCCTTACCTCCAGCTTCCCTAAAAGCTAAAAATGCCAGAATCCACAATGTATACATCCTTGCCACACCCTGGAAATTGCTGTTGACACTTGGCAAAAGAGAAGCCCAAGCCCATAGATGCTGAGGGTTAGACTTTTTCAAAAGGGTAAAATCACAGCAGGGAACTGAAGACAGTCCCTTGAATCCTAGAATCCTAAGCTTATTTCTTCTCATGTACCAGCCAGTCATTCTGTGAGCTCTGATTTATTTCTTTTAGGAGGAAAAAAAAAAAAAAGTCCAAACCAAACATTCATCTTGTATTGATCCAAATTCTTTCACTTAACTCATAATTTCACTCCCTCAGAGAAAATGTGTTTTTGTCCAGGTTTAGCTAAAGTGCTCCAAAAGATGTAGTCTAAACATATATTGTAAAGGTTGTCATATGCTTCTGATGCCTCTGCCTTTTCTATTTCAGAAAATTTAGAAAAAAAAAAAAAAAAGAAAGAGGAAGATAGAGAGGAAGAGAGTGTGTCAGAAATTTGCATTCTGCTTCTGTAAACCCAAGGGATTTGACAATTCAGCTAGAAATGAGTAGTCATTTGTTTTTGTTGTTCTTCATTTGCAAATCTCTAGAATATTTTGAGCTTTAATCACATCACTAAAAGGAGACATTTTCTGCATTGTGATTTCACTGGATCATAAGAGCTTCATCTACATCTTTCTTTCATTTGGACAAAGGCTGTTCTTGGCAGAAGCCTCTAACCAGTATCATCACCTAAAATATGCAACTCAGGTGCTCTTAGGTCCTGAAATGAGCACAGCATGCTATAGTCACCATGATTTTCAGGCTAGGATACCAGTTATTACCATACATATTATTTTACATCCCACATTATTTCAGGAAAGCACAATAGAAAGGTGTTAACAACATCTGGGGCTGTATTAATAGATCTAAAGGCTGGGGAGAGGCAGAGCCTCCACCACCATTCATGGGAACGTTTAAAAGCAACCCATGAAGCATGTGCCATCAGTGTAATAAAGATCAAGATTAACCATCTTCTGTGATGGAATTTTCCTTTTTTGACTTCAATAGCTTTTTGATTTCATGGATAACTCAAATGCATGCACATCAGTCGTATATAATGACAGGTTCAGTATGCAAAAAGAAAGAATGAGGGAAAAAAAGAGAACTAAAAGTTACTAATTCTTAAAAGAAAGTACTGAATAAAGAGTTATAGATTCCAAAAAGATAAAAACAAACAACAAAACCATGAAGTCCTCCAAGCCCTGATGGAGTCCTTGAAAAACAAAGGAGCAAGATACAGACAGAGAATAGATTATGTTAACTAAATCATGATTCCTTTTTTGAATCTGGAAATTTAGTTGAACAGTGCAGCATTCATTTCTCTAATAGAATAATGGAAGTAAACTAAAACAATATTACAGTTAATGACATTTTCTCCTGACCACACAGGTATGTTTTCTTCATTTATTTTTCCTATAAAGAACACAAGAATTCTGCAAAGCAAAGCAAAACTGCCAGTTCCTTTGAATGATTGTGAGGGGATGGTACAATATGGAGAAGAAGAATATCCCGAGGGTACTGTATTCAATATTCGATCCAAAGTTTACTGGAAGAGGATTTCCAGTGCTCCTCACTTACAGGAACTACTCTACGAAACCAGAAATTAGGGTGAGAGTCGATTTTATTGGAGTCTTTTCCAGTGCATTACACTATAATAGAATGCCTGTTCATTTGCAGAGAAACGCATTTCCTGGGCTCAGTTTCAAAGGGGGTCATGCTTCCCATAATTAAATTGTGTACAGAAGGCAGTCACTTAAATTCCACACTGCTAATTTTATGCAAAATAGAACCCTATTGATTTCCTGCACTTTCCCAGCATTTAGCTGAAGTTACACGCACCCTAACAACAATATAAAACAGATTTTTCCATTAGCTTGAAATTTAAAGAATGGTGCATAGCATTTGAGCATACAATAAGTATATGTATTAGGAGTGCAGAGAAAACAGGAATAGGACAGTTTAGTGAAGATCTTATGTTTCTGGCCAAAGAGTTTACTTGGTGGTCTACTCGAGAATTAACCCTGGCACATTTCTTTTTATTCAGTTCATGCAATTTGCCTGGTGTTGAGCAATTCTAGCTTGCCAAATAAGTCTTCTTTCTTTCCTCTTCCATGGAGATTTTAATGATCTCTGGAGTCATTTCTAACTCATCTCTCTCTCAATAATGTCACTACCACTAGAATGAAGTGCTACTACACAAATGGCCAGCTGAAGAACGTACAAGATGTTTTGTGTTTGGGAGAAATGAGCACACTGCCTGCATCAGTCCCCTGAGTCTTCAGTACTGCAGACCCTATTGTGGCCTGCATATTGGGTCTATACCCCATTCTGTGAACAGCCCAGACAATGCCTTGGACAGGAACTGCAACAAAAAGAAAAAAAAAAAAAAAAACAGTACAAGAAAACTAGCACTAGAAAAAAACTAGCACTAAAAACTAGCACTAAAACTAGAAAAAAACTAGTGCAAGAAAAGCTCTGCCTCAGCCTGCAGAGCTCAGCAGTGATAGCTCCTAGGTGATTAGGATAGAGCTTGTTTGCACAGTAAAGTCCACTCAAGTCGAGGGAAATATTTCAATTAATTGAAGTGGGTTGCAGATTGGAGTTATAATTGAAGCTTATTTTTTCAGTGTTAGTGTAAATTGAATGCTGACCCATTACAGCAATCAACAGCAGTGTCACTAGTAACTACAATTATTTAAAACTATTGAAATACATCACCCCATGGAAGTAATTTCTTTTGTTTTAGGACATCTTTTAATCATAAAATATTCAGGGTGGGTCTCTGTTGCAAACATTCTATTCACTTCATTTCTCATAATACTGATGATAATAATCTGATGGTTATGCAAAGGGGAAAATGAAAATTTAAGTTTGAAATAAGTACTGTAATTCTCCCCTTTCCCTTTACAAACTCAAATTAACACAACCAGTAGTGATTTAAAAAATGCATATATTTTCCTTCTAAGAAAAGCATAAGGTATTTATTCAGTTATACACAAATTTCATGAGACATTACACATGCTTCACAAGAGATTACCTTTGCAACCAGAGTTGCAATGCAACAAATTTGCAAAATCAGATTTCAGGCATTTCAAATGGAAAACCTTGAGAGACTGTCTAACTTATGTAGTTATTCAAAAATGATGCCATGACAGATCACCTTTCTAGTATGCCAGGAAGACATGGACCTATGCCATATGGACACAGAAGTCTGACTAAGAAAGTGTCTGAAGTCATGTTCTTTTCATGGTGTGTTTAAGAATAAAAAGTTTTCTGCCATGAAATAACTTGACAGCTGAGCTGGGTAGGATATGCCATTAGGGTCAAGTAACAGCAATTCTTTTACCAATCTCAGGCCAAAACAAAAAGTTAGAGGTTGTTTATTAGTAGTAGTATTTTAAAGGCAGCTATAAAAAGCCTAGAAAACGTTATGTCCCCAGAATATTGGTTGATATAGCAGTGACTGAATGTTAAATGCCACATTTGACTCTGTCTTTGGAAAAAAAAAAAAGAAAAAAAAGTTGTCTTTTCTTTCTCATGGGCTGATCAGAATGATAGCATTATAATTCAGATCTAATCTGTAGGATCAGCATCAGCAAAAAGACTGTTTAGCTTATCAAAATCTATTTAGGTTACCCAGAAGTGGCTTGGCTACAATGCATAAATATATTCAGAAGAAGATATCAAGTGGTAAATGATTATCCAACATATCAGAGGCACAGAAAGAATCACTGGATGAAAGAAAGCCTGATTCATTCAAATTAAAGCAAGCGTACTAATTATTTAATGACTACAAGTGAAACTGCTGGCATAGGCTAGCTAGGAAGTTTGTAAAAATCACTCTTTTAGAGATTTATAAGTACTGATTAGACCAACATCGAGCAGAAATTGCTCAGGAGGAGCAGTTTCTGCTTCAGAGCAGGAAGATGGGCATGTGTTACTTTCCTGACATCCCTTCCAGACCTTCTTTCATCAGCAGAGAAAGCTGTAGGGCTCTCAGTATTAGTAATGTCCAGCAGCATGCAGAAGCTCAGAGCAACATGTCCAGTTACCTCAAAACTCACTAAATTTGGGCAATTGGAATAAGGTCAGTGCTAGTCCATTAGTTAGGTGATCTGCTCCAGTGTCTTGTTCAGAAACATCCAACTAGTTTCCTACTGTGTGAGGAAAAATTGCAAGAAGTCCAGCAGTAATGGCAGTATTTTATTCTAAAGGACTCAAAAAAAAAAAAAAAAAAAAAAAAAAAAAAAAAGATCAACATACTGGTGGTACTGGTGGGGCAGAAGAAGCTAAGCATTAAAGCCACAGAAACTGGATGCCCCATCCCTGAAGTGCTTAAGTCCAGGCTGGATGGGGCCCTGGGCAACCTAATCTAGTGGGAAGTGTCCTGGCCCATGGCAGGGGTTGAAAGCAGGTCATTCTGATTTGATAATAAGAAGTGAGAACTACAGTTACTTGCTGTTACGGAAATGGAGCCGTGAACTAGGTGATGCAACATACCTCTTGGAGATGCGAATTATCTATAAAATATTGAAGTGAGAGATGTTAGTGCTTGCTAATCTCTTGACAGTGGTCCAGTCTAGCAAGAGGCTGGCACGGGTGTACTTTCATTTCCAGAGTGCAAGAGGGCTACTCTCTCATGTCCTGGCACTTATGTTCTGTGTGAGCAGACTCAGGAAGGACTGGACTCCACGTTCATTTGGCAAAGAAAGCTACTTAGCCAGTCTGAGATTCTGCAACTGCAAGAAAAAACTCAAAGCCAAGCAAGGAGCTGTGAGACAAATTAGTATGGTTTTGATTCATTCTTACTGAGGAAGCAGTTTCCAAAAGCAGCAAACATTACAGAAAGTTGTCTGATGTTATGCAATGCATTGTTCTGAACTCTATGGCCAGAAAAGCTTGATAAATAGCAGGGAAAAGGTTAACAGTAGGAAGTGTTTTCCCGGGCACTGCAGGATGTTTTTAGACAGTGGCAACTGCAAGACAAGGCTGGAGAATTGGTGCTCTTGTATTTCTTCTGATGCTGGGATTGAGGGAGCACCTCTAGAGAGCTGAATTTCAGGAAGAGATTGAATTTACATCTCCTGCTCGTTTCCATGAACAAAAATCAGGCTGATGAATGGGAAATGGCTACTCCCACTTCAAGAAGCCCTGCTCGAAGCACACCCTGTGGTGAAGATGCTGGAACCAGCATCCAATTCATGTGCAAAACTGTGCATCTTCTGTCCAAAGAGATCAGAAGAACAAGGATGCCATTGCTGATGGCCTCTGTGAAGCAGGCCCCTGGCTGCTGTGTAAAATGGCAACTCAGATATAAAGGCAGGTTTCAGTAGGACCACATATTCATTCTACCTCCTCATCCAGTCATGGCCAGAAAATAATACCACAGGTGACTGCACTCCTCCACTATCCATCTTGACCTCCATTTGACATGCCCAGCCACTTACAGATCCTTTCACAGCAGTCACTATAAATCTATCCTCTTGGGAAAAAAGAGGAATAAATCACCTAGTTTCATCTCTTCCCATCCAAATATTCATCTACATTATTTATAGCTAATGAAATATCAGAGAATTCTTTTCTCCCCTCATTGTGGATGCTGTCATGTTGTACTTGGTGCTGCTCTACCTAGTGCTCTTTGTTTATTGCACTGGAATTGAGAATCAGCATTTTGCCATTTAGTTTGTATTCTCCAGGGTGAAAACCTAAATTTGAAAAATGAAGGAAGCACTACTCTTAACCTTAAAATGGGAACAATTTAATCTAGTCTTAAAATACTGAGAAATCTTTTGCAGTTAAATTACTGATCCTGATGAGACATTGGCAAAGCACAGCTAAAAATGATCTGTCTGCTTCAGTGTCTAGGGGCTGCAACCTCTGCTGCACATTGCGAACTCCTGGATAAGCTGAAGTTAAAAACTTTGTGCTTTGAAATCCCACAAAACAGCACTGCAAGCATTTACTGAAAAAAGAGTAGAATCTCACAGGCACAGAAAAGGCTAGCAATACTTAAAATACTGGACAGATTTTCTGAGCACAGGGTGTATGTGGAGTTTTGAGCTCCTTTGAAAAATCTAGCCTGTGTTTGTCCATGTTTGCTGGGATCTCACTGCCCAGTTAAGCACCTGCACTATTCATTCAAACCTCAGGTATTATTTTAAACATAGGGAAGCAGTATCTAACTTGGTCCATAGAGAGCAGATTTATAGCAAGGTTCACAGGCTTCAAAGTTCAAGGCAGAATCAAGAGCTGAACCAAGATGTATCACAGAAGAACTCATGGCCCCGTCCTCACTCACTTGAGGATCAACACATTTTTAGAGCTTTAATGTATCTAACCCTAGTGGAAGTAGTGGAACTATTCCAGCACTGAACACTGGAAAAATAGCTACAAGGAAGATGTGAGGATGCTTTGCAAGTCCCCTACTTCAGGGAAAATTAAGCACAGAAAAAATCTGACTGGCCAAATATTGAAAGCCTGGAAATCTAGTTTGAAAACAGCAGATTTTATGTGATTTGTATCTGTGCACAGTCTATTCATGTTCAGTCACATGGTAGTGGGTAGTTTGTCTGATCAGTGCTTCATACTCCTGATTTTAATGCTCACTCTTTCCCCCTCCCCAGTTTGTAGTAGAAACAACATCTTTCATAATGCACCACCCATCTTATTCTAGATGCTTCACAGCCTTATCTAGCTTCCAGCAGCAATATACAACTAGCAATAGTGAGGTGGGCGAAACTCCTTTCTAGTATCATTATTCACACAGGATTTAAGCTGTGCTTTCAAGAACTGTGTGTCAGTAAAAACTCCAGTCACAGCACAGCCAAGAGGAAGCCGAAACAGGATGCTCAGGTGCAGAACTGAATTCACTTTAAAAAAGGCTGAGCAAGTACTTTATGGAATAGTTTAGGAATTTACCCAGACTCTACAAAGACTCTAAAGATTTGCAGCAGGAGAAGTTAGTTTGAAAATAATGAACTGAAATACCAGCCCTGCCTAAAATGTTCTCCAAAAGCCCCTTATCCTAGCTTCTTGTAGGATTTTCACTTGCCTCTTAATAGCTGCAGAAAACATTCTGTATAAAATCACATAAATGGACAGAATCCATGACTTGCAGAGATTAGGAATTATTTTTTAAGCCTTGCAACCCTCCAAATTCATCACAAAGTATATGAAAAGAATAACATTCCTTGCAATGACTCCGCCACTGCTCATGAAAAACATCTTTCCTGATCACTGACATGGCAGATATGCAGCTGACATCTGCTCAGCAGTTTAAGAATGCTTTGCTGACACTTAAAATTGAGTTTCACTGTGAAATCAAGATGATATCATTGGCTATTATAATAAGTTGTTAAATGCCCATGGTAATACTTTTCCTTCTTTTACAATCAAGCAGTTATCTTTTTGCTCTCCTCCCTTCCTCACAGTCACTAGTTGAGAGTTTGTATGCTTAACAGAACAGCCATAGAAAAAGTATTTTTGTTATGTTTTTAAACTGCTGCTGCTTTCAATAAAACTAATTAATATCCTGCAGTAAAACAGTTCCCTGGGTCTCCTTAGGTTTCAAATGCAGCTGACCTATGCACAACAGGGTCTTCACTCGAGATTGAACACACTCATTAATGTTTTCTAATAAATGAGACTACCAGGTGGGGCTGTTCGTTCAGCCTCCCAGAAGGTGCTGCAAGGAGGGGGTAGAATTAGGACAACCATTTGATTTGTGTGCCCCATACCCATGCTCTTTTTCCCCATTCAGCAACAATTAAAAGCTGAAAAAATACTGAGGAAAAAGAAATGAGATGTGTAGAGCTTTGGAACTTTCTTGCTTAAAAATTGAATTGAACCATGGAGGCAAGAGCAGACAATGTGGAGACTGCCTGCATCCCTACTTCAGGCACACTGCATACCTTGATGACACTATTTTTTTTTTGCCTTTAACCCTGTAGTATCTTGGGCCAATATGGAGAGAAGCAAGTGAGAGGTCTTTTTCCATTACAACTACTCAAGGCTCTGCCTAGACCATCATTGCATTTAAACTGGGATGAAGGGAAACCAGTTAAGCTGTCTGTTGCATAATACAGAGTTCAAACCTCTTTGCACCTCTCAAAATGGAAGGGATGTTGATCAAACAAGATTTCTCATACTTAATTGTACTTCAGCAGAGTCAATACAGTCAAATTCCTGAGCAAAGGAAACACCCCCACACTCTGTTTCTAAAGGTGCTAATCTTCTGCCTCTGTAGATAATCGAGGTTAGCTGAGAAATTAATGAGACCTTATTAACACCAAAGACACCCTAGGTATTTTCAGGTGAGGCAGAAACATGAGTACCCCTTGTGCTTCAGCAACAAGGGCTGATAAATGGACTTTTGCAATGGATAAGTGAAGGTCAGAGCAAGGTCACCTAAAGAAGATCAACCACAGCTCAAAAACTTACCTTTTCTCTAAGGGAATTGTGTAGCTACAGAGAAAACATTTGCAGATCGAATGCTTAGGACCTGTTAAAAAAAGGTTCAGAAAACATACAGAATAGCTTAAAAAGTGTTTTTTGTTTGTTTGTTTTGTTTGTTTGTTTGTTTTAATTACCTCCTCACTCTCCTGAGCAGCATTTGTTCAACCTTTGCTAGAGGTTATTCTACTCCCTCTATTTTGGCCAAAATCTGTTCTTGTCTGGATTTCTTACATCTAGAGTGCCCAGCTCAAAGAAAACCCTGCCAAAGGACTCTATCTATACTCTCTGATATGATAAAAACATCCACTTTTCTAACCTCAATGCCATCAGCATTTTTTCTTTCTCTCAAGAGCTCACCATGCAACCCCTATTAAATTAAACCAAAAAAGTGCTCGCTCATGCCTTTTTAAAGCAGCAGATTACCCATAATCTCCTCCCTAGGAATTCAAATTTTCTTTTCAATTAGAAAAGGGCTTGGTCAAGTCACATCTAAAAAGATACTGCTTAAAGACCTGCCATTCAGGATTAAAAAGTAAATAAAAGTAAACTCTTAGTAAAAATATCTCCTTTAATTTCCTTAGTGATGAGAAGAAGCCTGCAACAAGATGGGTGCCCCCTTGCTAAACTACATTTCCCAAGAGGCCACAGGCCTCACTTCAAATTTCAGACCTGATTTCCTGATCTAAAAGGTGTTGTGGCTAGTTAAAGGATTTTTTATGTGATTTGGGAGGGTAGGGATGTTTTTTTGTACATGGCTGTAGCTGATTAGGGGAATAAAAAGCAGCCATCTTCTTATTTATTGTTCTAACTTTTGCAGGGATTGACAGTTTAGCTTATTTCAGAAAATATATATGTTGTTATTATTTAAAAGCAATTAATTTTAAGTTGTCTGCATGTTAGCAAGACTAAAATGTTTTGTTGTTCAGCCTTTTTTACTGTAACAGTTGAGTTGTTCAGGTATGGAGGAATGAAAAAGCAGAACTTGTATTTCAAGAAAAATGCACAAGCTATTTACAAACCAGTGCAAGTACCTGTGTTGCTTCAGGCTACTAATCAAATTATGTGTGGGCCAGCTAAGGATTCAGAGGTTCATGTATTTGTCAGACTCTACTTGAAAACAGAGTTAGCGTCTGCATTTGAAAATTCCTACCAGATTTGTTAAATGCTCTGGTAAAAGGAGAAGGAAAACTGAAGCTAAATAGAAAGGCTTTTAGATTTAAACTTAAATTTTAAATCTTTAAATAAAAGACTTATTAATATCAAAGAATTATCTTTTCCATAGATAATATTTAGATTGTGTCCAACATGCTTATTTTGTGTGTTTTTGGGGGGGAAACTGGAGAGCAGGGAGAGAGCAGATATTTCATCCTGGATAGTGGCTGTTTTGTTTTGTTTTCATTTAAATTTGGTGCATGGAAAGGAAAGAAAAAAATAATGCTATTTGAAGTCTGGGACTAGGCTTATATTCTCGAAGACACTACGGTGCTCACAGAATTAAATATTAACACTTTGAGCTTTTAGGCCCTAAATACTAAGGCAGATGGTATCTTGAAATCACACTACTTAGCCTTCTAGCTTGAAGTGTAAAAGTCTCTTTTTGTACCACAGAGATTTACTATTACAACTGATAAAGAAATGCAAGCACACAATTAGAGTTAGTTTTCACCGAAGGCTTCATAACAGCAATCTGCCTCCTATGTTCCTTATTGTTTAACAAGGCACCTGCTGGGAATTTTTATGTGTAGAGGTTAGGTATATTTAGAAGTAGAGTCTGATTTAAATACATGTTGTTTTGATGTGATCTATGTAATTATAAATGCAGAATCAAGATATAAAAACACAGCTCCTCTCAAAGAGCTAATATCTAAGCTTCAATTTACTTATTTAGCGCTCCCAAATATACACACTTAATTAAGGCATCAGGGAAACCTCTTGCAGCCTGCAAACAGGGATCTTCTACATCTTTCTCTCAAATGTGCATCACTCCATTTGAAATGTGTTTCTCGGCTGAAGGAGACAAGCATTTTAATGCTTCTGGTTTTACAGATCCAAGGGGAACTAATGACCAGGGTGTTTTACCTTTCCTCCACAAGGACTGAAGGATGCTGCAGCTATCTCTCAGCTCATTGCTGCTATGGTTTTGCAGAAATAGGGGGCTTAAGAGGGCTCCCAGGAGCAGCAGCCACCTCTGCTGCTGTGCCCGGAGCGAGTGGAGCAGCAGCCCGGGCTAGGAGGGATGCGCTCCTGTGAGCCAGCTCAGTGCATGGGCATATGCTGTCAGAAATGAGTGCTAATTGTCCTGGCAGAGACAGGCCAATAAAGCTGATTGGTTTTTAATTTCTTGGCACTGAGAGTCCAGCCACGTGCTGCACAAGCGGAGCAGTAGTCCCAGGTATCGCTCAGGCTGCTCAGCACTGCCGATGGCTCTGCTGCTTGGAGGTTTCCACCAGCCCTGCCCAGATCGCTCCTTCCTACATCAGTGTACCCAGGTGTCCCTGCACACTGGAGGTATCTCAGGAGCTGGTGTTCATTTTCCCTCAGAGCTGGGCTCTCATGGAACACAGCAAGTTGGTCATCATTTCTGTTTTCTCTTTTCTTTCTCTATTTGATGGTGCTTCCCTCATCCCTTTAGCTTATAGCATTTCCAACCAAATACTTCTTGCAAGAAATGTTGGACAAAGGAAATGTTATTTGGGAAATTCAGGGGAAAAAGCTAAGTCCAGGGAGAGGGGAGCTGCTGCTCACTGTTCCAGTTATTGTAAGAGCAGGGAAGTGTTCAGGAGATGGAGCTCACGATGCAAAGGCAGTAGTAAGCAAGGAAGACAAACTGCAGCATTATCTTTCTGTGAGATAAACAATAACCCAGGGAAGTTGTCCTTCCATCTGTCTCCCTCCTAGTTTGTTAAAACATTGCAGGTGGGAAGAAGAAAGTATCCTGTCTGCACAGCACTGTGCCCTGGGTTAGCACAATGCAACTGACTTTCTATAAATTCCCTAGAGAAATACAGCTAGGGCGTCTACCGTCAGCACCCCCGTGGAGGTTAGCTTAATTCTAAGTTATCATAAGCTCTAACTTGGAGTTTGCAGTGAAGAAAGAGATACAGAGTCACTTTGAGGTGTTCAAATATTTTTCCTGGAATCTGAAAGTCACCTTCTCTGCTGCACATTGAAACCTGGATGGATGTTGTAGAAAATAAAACACCATTTTTTGTGTGGCTTTTTTTTTTTCCTCCATTCCACTGGCTAAACAGCTCATCTTGTGTACACTTTGCAGTTGAAGAGCATGGATTATGACTATTTGTATTGTTTGGACAGAGTTTAAAATCCAGAATTAATTATAAGAGGAGGTAGAAGATATTTAGCTAACAGAAAAGGCCCGGAGCTGGCATGACAGGGTAGGACAGCTAGCCAAGCAGGTCTGGCTCTGCCAGTTCTGAGTGTTTTACTGACTTGTCCAAATCTGGAACAAGGCTTTTGCCTTTTCTTGATATGCAGCTTTACTTAGTGAGTTTGTGTCTCATAAATTTGTCAGAGGTTTGAAATCAGCTTTTTTCTGATTTAACTTACAGACTGCTAAAAGCTTCATAAAAAAAGGCATGAACTGCTATATTGTGGCTCTAGGCCACATCTAGGTGACAATAGATATGTTCCTGCTGATTTACTGCTTGCATGCCGTCAGAATTAGAAGAGAGATTTCAAAGAGTCACCAGAATATAGGTAAAAACCCACAGTCCCAAATAGTGCAGGGGGAAGATTTCATTTACTTAGCATTTTATAGGCATTCAGCAACCACATAACCAAGTTCTGTAAGAAATATGGGAACTTGTGAACCTGTCTTTATTTTCAGGTGACCATTTGAGCTTACCAGTGGCTACCTAAATCTCCAAGTCTTTTAAAGTTCTGAGTTTAAAATCTAGAAAACTTTGACTAAATTTTCTTAATCTCTTGAGCTTCTGATGCCTGTGGAGATGACAAAGATGTCAACGAAGCTTTTGTTCGGAGTTATCGCATGTGGCCATGAGATAATCCTTCTGAGCTGAAATACTTGCAGTGCTGCTGTGCATTTTTAACATTGCTGACTTCACTTTTGGAGCATTTCCGTGACAATCTTTCTATAAGTAGGGCTGAGGAAGTAAAAATAAAAAGATCATAGGATAATGAAAGGGGCATTTGGAGGTCTTCAAATATAGGGACTAATAGCTGGGGTGCAGGAGCCCAACCTGCCCAGGGTGCCAGAAACCCCCAAAAGAGCAACCCTGGTGGGAGGAACCAGCCCTTCCAGCCTCCTTCACGCTTTCTGGGGTTTGAGGACCAGTAAGTACTATTTCTCCTGGAAGCATGTTGCCTTTCACGGAAGGTTTTGACTTTTGGTTGAAAACTTACAATGGTAACCAGAAAGCAAATTCTGCTGAGGCAATAATGAAAGCAATTTTAGGCCAGGGCAATTGCATGCATGATTTTGAGTACCTTAAGTGAAAAGTCAAATGCACTGCATGAGGAGAACAGATTTTCTGGCCTGTTGCAATCCATCTGCACAGCAAGCTGAACTGCTTGAACATCACAGAAATATCTGAAACCCTTTGTATGAATGAGGTGAGGCTACAGCAGCTGTAAAAAGCTTATTCTGGCACTTGGCCACCTCCCAGACATAAATAACAAAATGTCTCATCCATCTCCAGGGTCAGGAATGGCTCTGCTGGTTAGCCTCAGCTTAAACCTTGGGAGTTTAATTTGGCTGTATAGCCCCCAGCAATATAACCAGGCTGAGGTCAGCCGAGGCACCGGCCGGTTACGCAGGCAGTCTGTAGTTTTTATAAAACTCCCTGGAATCCATTTGCAATGACAGATGCCACAGAGTGCATCTGACTGATCGTTCACCACTGATAATAGAGCTGGAGATAGCTCAGTGAACCTCTTCATCATGAATTCCCATTTTCTTTTATAGTCTTTTTCTCACTATCTTTGTCTCGGCAATCGTATTGTACTTTTGTTTCTATTTTGCTGTTTTTGAATGCTTCCATTTTTAAAGGCTAATTATTATCCTCTTTGCTAAGCTCAGCTCCTTAGAAAAAGAAAGGATAACTGAATTAATAAACTAAAAACATTTTTTTATCTTGTCATTCATATGACTTCAGAAGGTGGAAAGCTACAGATATCTTTGTTGTTTGTGTGTGAAACTGCACTCAAAATCAACTGCTCTCCTGTACTTATTTTATTTTACATCATTTTACATTCCGTATTCAGATAAAGACCCTTAAACATCTGAAGTCAGTAGATATTAGGAAACAGTAGCTGTTCAGTGATTTTCTCTACTTTTCATATTTTTATATCTGGCATTACATGAAAAGGGCATTTTTCTCTTCTCACAGAGTACTACGTTGGAATACAACTCTTCTTTGCTCCTGCTGAACTCCTGTCCCTAACCATATTAATTTTGGATACATCCTTATGTTCACCAGATATTGTTCCTCCATCTCTGTCATCACTACCTTCAGTTCATCTGACAAACTCGTCTTTGGAAAAGCTTACAAATAAGATTACATGGGCTTGATTCAGCTTGGCAAGTGGCAGCAGCTTTGTGTTTGCTTTGCCTTGGTGTGTTGGCTTTCCTCGCTCAGTGGCACAGCCATTGCTTGTGCAAACCTCCGCCTGCTTTCATTCACAGTCTGA